GAATAACTATCACTGTTTTGACAATTCTGAAGGCGAGGGCGACTGAAGAACCACGATCGCGCTTCGTAATGACAGCCAGCTTAAGTCAGCAAACAGCACGCAACTCCAAACAAAATGACTCCCCCATACTGCTGCATGTTAAGAAGTGGTTTTAGTATTAAAAACCCATTCAAAGGATCAAATATAAAAAACAAGTAGAAGTATCATGGATATTTTCCAACTTAAAGCAACGCAAAAGGCTGATGTTTTCGTCGAACTCGGTCTACAAACACATAGAAGAACTTGGCAGCCCAAAGTAGATGACCACTGACCACTGTGATGTCATCAAAACGTATTTCCGTGGTGTCGGAGAATGTACAGTGCTCTGTTGTAAGTCAGACAGGTGGACCACTGGGTCAGGCGCACTGGGACACATACCAGATGAAGTGAACTGATTATGGATACAATACAGGAACATTACACATAAGGGCGTAATTATTTTATCTTATAGCTTGCAACACCCGTGGCCTATGTGAAGCAAATCCTGGGTTCTAATCGACTACCTGAGCGGGCAAGGCTCGGGATTGCCCGCCTTGATCTCGTGCAAAGAAATAAGAGCGTGAGCGAACCAACAAAGTTCACGTCCATTGGACAATGTTGGTGATAAGTCGCAAAAAGTGGCAGGAGATAATCAAAAAAAGAAAACCTACATGACCCCCGTGGGTTCATTGTGCTGCAAACACAGTTGGCTTTCCTCCCCGGCTCTTGAAATAAGCAAGTCATTCCTGATTCTTATTGAAGCGAAGTTGTTTTGCAACCAGCCTTGTTCGGTCAAGTTGGCTGGATGTTAACCTCATTCTTTTTTTCCAATTCATCTCAGTCAAAAAAAAAAAAACTGCAAAAAAGAACTCTGCCAATATCCAGCCATCTTTACCTCTACTTGGTCAATTACGCATATGTGAATCAGCGATTTGAGCTTCCTGCGCGCTTAAAAACATAATAAAAAGTTGACAGTTTGCCTTCTCTTTTAAGCAAGAAAAAGGTGAAGAAACCCAAACACTCTGTTAAGTGAAGGTTTTCAAACAACATATTTTCTTCTTAGCTGCTTATCTAATCACCAAAAGAATAGTGCTTTGACCATGAACACAACAAAGACAATACCTGAGATCTAATGATCATTCTCAAAACACTAATCAAAGACCCCTGTCCTGTATGCTTGGACCGCCATCAGAAAAACTGGGTCGAGTATAAGAAAGTATTTTGTGTAAAAACATGCAAAAAAAGGGAACAACGTCTCAGGTTTTTTTTTTAGGTGAGGGTGAGCAGAGTGGTATGACACTTATTCTGTTTGGCTTTCTTTATTCTTGACTTAAGTTTCCAATCAAAAATATTTTTATGTTGTGATCTGGAACTTTGTTAAACAAAGGTAAGAAAGACAAGTTTATTATTTCACAATATTTCTCCTACAAAGGTCACTTGTAAATCCTCGAATACTTGTGCCTTTAAGCCTCGCCTTCGTATACGAGACCCATTTTTTGGGCTCATGTCCAAACTTTCACTGGTGGGGTCATTTTTGTGAGGTTCCCAACAATTACTTTCATTACTCTGTAATGTTTAAGTTATAATTTACCTGAAAGAGGGATCTCGAGGAGGCACGACAGGGTATTCTCCTGGCATCCTGCAAGAAAATGAAAAATAGATACTAGCTGTTCTAAGATTTTCAAAACTCAGAGACAGTAATTTTTCTCAAATAAATGGCATGCCTGGGAACATCTCGCACATCCTACGACTCTTCAATTTCCAGGTTACTCACCAAACCATCACTACACTACGTTAAAGACAAAGACAAACCAAATAACAGACATAGCGCAGTTGATAAGGTAAATTGCTCCGACTGCCAAGCCTCCAACATTGGAGGGACTGGCAGGAACCTCACAACAGGACTGACTGAAAGCAAGCTGATGTCAACAACCGCATCGCTGCACACCATCGACTTACGATGCTATGCAATGCCTTACTTACAGTGTACAGCACTAATCACTTTCAACAACTGACTCTGGAAAGCTGGCTTACTAACTTAGAAGACTCCCCTTTACAGGGGTCAACTACTACTGGCTCCATACTAACGACTTATTCACAACGTTAATATCACGAACAAACCGAATAGAACTTACTCCACTTGAGTCTTACAGCCAATAACATCACGGCTAAACTGACCGATCAGTTCACCGTCAACCGCACTTAGTCCATTCGACTGATAATTAACACTTGAGTCTGATGACGACTTCATCTCAGGTTGTCAAAACGTCAGTCACCACTACCGACAACAGTCCTTCTTAGAACTACACGCACACGAACGATCACACTACATCATCATAAGTCTCATTGTAATTTCAGACAGGCGAACTATCAGACTACATAATCGTAAGTCTCATTGTAATTTCAGACAGATGATTTTATGGATGTCAGGAAAAACATATTGTTCCCTACATTATTGCATGATGAGTCTCTGGGGAGGAACGAAAAAGACCGGACTCGAGAGAGTGGCGGAAATCAAGCCTAGCGCCTTTACATCAGTGAGGCTGTTGTGAAACAAACTAGACAACACAACTGGCAGTTCAGGGTTCACAGATTTACCTACATTAGAATCTAAATGAGCAGGGACGAGAGACAATAATGCAGGTTTAGAAGGGCAGTCATTGATGCAATTGAGGAAGTTAGTTTGTTCAGTCTCTGTGGGGGGTGTAACACTAGAAATCTTAACTGTTGAAGTTGAACATGGGGTCTTTGAAAAGTTTATGTCATTGACCCTGGCATAAGGAACAGTCTTAACTGATGTTGATAGAACCCAATATGCCTTTTTGTCCATCACTGTCAGCGAATCCCTGCATTTACATCCCGCTTCAATGGCCCATAGCAACGAAGCAACATGGGAGCAGCTCTCTCCAAGACCAGCCATGCAATCACAATGAGCAGACAGAACTTTGCCTGAGTTTTCGCACACGATCCAAGTGGTCAGAGGCCTTTCTGACACTCTTTGAGAATGATCAACGTAAAAATAAAATGAAGTAGTTACTATACTGTAAATAATCAACGATCGATGCGAGAAGAGGGGACAACAGCTTGCTCCATCATTTATGAGTGTTAACACTCTTAAAGAGTTAAATTAACAAGTAGTTATAAAACCTTACCTTTGCTATTAACAGGCGATAATTTCGCCGAATTAGAATTTCTCTTACCCAGCGGTTTGCAGGGTTGCTACAATGCAAGCACTTTGTGACGAGCCGGAGCCATTTTTTGTGAGCCCCAGAAAATAACATCCAAATCTGGACAAAATGCCTTTTCATGGTCATGGTCCCAGGCGTTCCTTGTTTAAACCGCGGAAACTGAGGATGAGAGTGCGACAACTTGTCTTATCGTGTGCTCGCTGGTTGTAAATAACACAATTTTCAAAATGTTATGGTTTGGGAAAGTCGCACGGCAAAGATTCCTGTCTTATACGCTGTTCTCGCATACAAATGCACACACGGTTCGTGGCAGGCCCACACCAAGCGATGTCGAGCGTTTTCGCTCAAACTACGAAAATACTGGCAAAACTGTAACAGCCGACTAACAACAAACTATGAAGCTGAGACGAACACCTCGCTCGAAGGTGGCGCTAACAACAGCAAATTGGATAGAGAAACTGACAGAAGCAACATGAATAGTAATGTTAAATATCTAAGCTTAGCTCTTCCGTTAAATACCTGTTTCTGTAAATGGTTTGTATCGGGTTCAATACTTGTAAAGTACGATTTGATATTTCGTACATGATCACTGTTATTATTGTGCAAGTGATTGTGAAAGTTGGTTTGCTCTTTGCATGGAGTTACAAGTGCTTAGTAGAAGACATGATGAATACTCTTGATGATTGTGATCTACTAGAAAAATTTTCCAATATGACCAATGTACGTGAACACAATGATGTTACAGTGTCATTAAAGGTAAAAAAATTCAGATCTCG